ACCCCACCCCCGCCACCCCAGGATGCCATCCACTCAGATCTGCCTCCTCAGGCAGCAGCTCTCCCGCAGACACGGCATACCCTGAAACAGACCCTCACTCCACTGGGGGGCCCCAGGGCTCCACAGGGCTCTTAGTCCACCCCCCACCCTACCACACACACTCACACACCCTCTCTCTCTCTCTCTCTCACACACACACACACACACACACACCCTCACTTTCATACATACTCATAATCCCTTACACACACACACATCACACACACATACTCTCACACACACCCGCATACACATACATAAACAAACATACATACATACTCTCACATACTCACACTCCTTCACACACACACACACACACAATCTCTATCTCATGCAATCACAGCTCAGGGGCATTGTGCAAGGGTCCCAGGACCTGGCTGGTTCTGACTCTGGACTCCCGGAGCCCCAAAGCAAGTCTTGAGGTGGGCTGGGCTTTGATGGAGGGGAGCTGAACACGAGGTCTGCAGCCCTGGCTTTGTGGGGCCACTTCCTCTGAGGCCTCATTGCCCTGCCAAGGGGGTCGAGGTGGCACTTGCTGGGTGTAACTTGCTCCTGGAGGAGTGGGGGGAGGTGGGCAGTGAGGGCACCGTGAGAACCTTGGGTGTGTCTGTGTGGATATGGGGGTGAGCCGTGGCAGGGCTGGCAAAGTGTACTTGTGGGGGAGGACAGCGGCCTGGACATATTCTCAGAAACGACCCCCTTTTCTTGCCTGGGCAGCATGTCCCCAGTGCAGGTCAGAAATGGTTGCGAAGGGCCAGAGCTGATGTAGGCCATCCCAGCTGGCTTCCTGTGGGAGAGCCACCTTGCGCCCCTGGGGCTGGCTGCCTCCTTCCTCCCTGCCCTAGAGACCCTGCCCTGCCCCGTGGCTGCTCTGGACGCTGGCCCCAGGCCGTGCCTGGCTCTGCCTGGTCTGGCCGTGCCCCAGCTGGCCCTCGGTAAACCCGTCCTCCTTCAGCTCAGACTCGCAGCTTCCTCACAGTGAGCTGTGCAGCTGGAGGAGGATGGGACTTTCTGGAAATGTCCGTCCCAGTGGAAGGGTGAGGACCATCGGCCATGCTGCGCTCCCGGGAAACCAGTGTGGGGGCCAAAACTCCAAGGCTGGGCGGTGGGGCGGTGAGCATGGTGCCAAGAACTAGGGCCCCCGGTGCCGCTGTCCAACTTGAGGTTAGCCGAGGAGCCCCTGACGGTGGTGGGAGCTGGGCTTGTGCCCGGGCTTCCCGCTGCTGGAAGGGAAGAGCCCTGCCTGCCACAGGGCAGGTGGGATGAGGGACAGGGATGTCCAGCCTCCAGCCCCCAGCTTCTGCTGACCCACACGCCTCTCCGTGGCTAGTGCCTACCCGGCAGTGGGCGTGCAGGACTACCTGAGTGTGTGCGTGAGGTGGGGCGGGCGTGCAGAAAATGTGACCCGACCCACAGATCCACTAAGAACGGCCACCTTTTCAGTCCAGGACCGTTTCTTGGTGTGAAGCAGATACGGCCAAACAGGCTGCAGGTTTATAGACCTTCATAGAGGGCCAGAGGGGCCCACGAGGGAACGAGTTTGCAGACAGCAGCTTCGGCCAGGCGATTCCACCCCCCAGCCCCGCCCTCAACAATCCCGAGAACAGTCACTTTGACAGACAGGCACACGATCCAGATAAACTCCGTTTATTTGGTCATTTTAACCCAGGAAATACCAGACGGATGGACAGGGAGAACAGACCTTCCGTGCACCCGCGCACTCACAGGGCAGATGGCTGGGGGCGGGGGGCTCCGGGCACACATGCACGGTCTCCGGAGCAAACACCACAGGACACCAGGATCGGGGGCATCACGGGCAGACCCCATGGGGGGCTTGCCTGGAAGGCAGTCAGATGGGCGTTAAATACGGGATTGACGGGGACACGGAGCTCACCACACGTGTAACTTACACATGGGGAAGCAGGGATACCACCGTTTACGTAAGTGCAATCAGTGTGGGTTGGAGAGGGCAGACAGACAGACAGGCGGAGCCATGCTCAGGAAGGAGCCATGCTCAGCTTGGTCCACTCTCCTCGCTTCTGCTCCCACCTCCCAGCAGGGTCGCCCAGGGTGACGAAATGATGGGCCGGCCTCAAGGCTGTCTGAGGAAGCCCACCTGGCATCCTCAGGGTCGGGGACTCCCAGTGGTACGGGGTGGCCCCAGAGCTGGGGACAGCCCTGTGTGTCAACATGCCCCGTGTGTCACCCCAGAAAGGAACAGGCCGAGGGGGGTGGGCAGGGGGCATGCCGAGCTGGTCGGGCGGAGCAGGGGGACACAGGCGGCTGGGCCGGGGTGTGTGGCCTGGCGCGGGCCCGGGAGAGGCAGGAACGGCTGAGGAGACATCCACGCTCACAAGCAAAGCTGAGACGGCAAGACAGGCCCAGGGGCTTCTGTGCCCTTAGAACTGGCTTGCGCTGCTGGGGTCACACTGTAGCAGCCGGACGATGGAGGGGTCGCTCTTGGCACCTTTAATGAACTCTTCCAGGGACAGTTTGCCTGCAGGGACAGAGGCCGGAGATGTCAGAATGACGCAGTGCTCTCCCTACCTTTTAAACCTGCAAGGAGGAGAGGCCCAACCTTCCTGTCCGGGACACCGCCCACCCAACCACCCAGCTTGTCCTCTGCCTTGGGCCTCCTGCAAGCCCGGCTGTGTCCGACTCTCCGAGAAACAGTGGGATTTGTGTGTGTGTGGCTACAGGTCACTAAGAGGATGGATGCAGTCCGGAGGCATGCTGTAGCCGAGGACCGGGATTGCAAACCCTTTAAAATTGCTCCACTCGCCACCTATGAGACCCTCAGGGACACGTCTTCGCCCCTACACCTCCTCCATGGGCTTGGGCTGAGGAGGCTACAGTGACCTGGGTAGGTATGGACGCAGAGCCCGTCTGGACTAGTGGGGCCTGGGGCTGCCGCTCAAGCGGAGCCCCTCTCTCTGACTGCATCCTACCTGCGCACCCCCAAACCAAGCCAGGGCACAGGGTGGGCAGCAAAGGTGAGCGGCCAAGCTAAGGGCTCTTCTGGCTTCCTCCCCTCTGCCATTGGCCCCTCCTCTACCCCTCCTTTTATCACTGATGGTGTTCCATTTGCATCAGGAGATAATAAAGGGGTCTTAAGGCCTCAGTGCTGTAGCAGGTCCAGCCCCAGAATGGCAGCTCCCTAGAAGGATGAGGTCCTCAGTTTCAGAGCGCTTCCCTAACCCCCTCCCCCTCCCCCACCTCACCCCACCCCCGGTCCTGCCAGAACCTCACAGCCCCTGCAGAGCAATGCACTGGGGTGTAGGTCCCGGTTACTCCTGGGGCCCACCGTGGATGCTGCAGGCAGGCCCCAGGTCCTGGGCACAGCTGCTGTGGGCAGCGGCAGGAATGCACAGTGCTCCCCTGGATACCCCGGGTCACTGGGGGTGGGGGTGGGGTGGAGGAGTGAGTGCACCTGCATCTCAGATGTGACCCTGAATGACCAAGAAGAAACAGCCAGCCCCCAGGACGTCACCTCCTGGGTGATTTGATGTCGGCTCTGCAGCATCCTGGGGAAGGTCAGCAGTTCCTCATGCCCCCAAGCCACTGTCCCTATTTTAACCACGAGGACACCTGTGCAGGCCAGTCATATGCCCAGGGCCACAGAGCCACGAGGCAGGACTCAGGACCAAACATGCCCTGTTTCCCAATCCAGGGTCTTCCCCAGGACAGCGAGGTCAGGCTGGCAGAGGAAGGGAGGGGTTGGTTGGGGGCTGGGTGGACAGCTGGGGAGGGGAGAGATATATCCCCGACAGGTCTTGTCCCGCCCTGTCCCTTCTATAGGTCACTCGCAGCTCCTACCATCATTGTTTGTGTCCATCTGTCGGAAGATCTTGTCTGTCCGTTTCTCCGGAGTGGATTCATCCTCCGGCATCTTCATCACCGAGGATACCATCTTATAAATGGCCTGCAGGAGTGGGGGGCCAGGGTGAGGGGCAGGGGCACAGGAGGCCAGGGGCTCCCTGGCGGCGGACCCCTCTGCTACTGGCAACAGCTCACAGGGGTGAGAGACAGATGCCAGGCGTGTGCACATGCTCAGGTTCAGGGACAGGACAGATGAACACAGGAGGCGGCCGTGGGAATGGTCTGGGGCTGGGATCGGCTGGGGTTCTGTCACTCAGTGTTGGGTGAGGGGCCCCAGGGGGTCCTGTGCCCTGCTCGCTTAGCTCAGCCACATGCACTTCACTATGTGATAACCAGACCGCCGAGAAATAAGGGTGCAGCCCCCCAAACTCGGGGGGTCACACAACCCTCCGGGAAAGGACAGGAACAGCGGGGCCCTGTACCTTCACAGCGGGGTCGGAAGGCACTGCCCAGATCGGGCCCCAGCTCGGAGCATCTCTGTGAAGTCCCTGCCCCAGAGCCCCAGCCCCAGCTCTGGGCACCCCATGCTGGTGGGCGGGTATATGTGTGTTTGGGGGTGGGGGGGCATGAGGGCATACTGAGTAATGTGTCATGGAAGGGCAGTTGGCTGTGGGGATTTGCCGAGTACTTTGTAGAAGTTGCTTGGCTAATATTCTTTTCTAAACCAACGGACCAAGAACAGAGGAAGTCTGAGAGGCATTGTATTTTAAAAGCAGGACTGAAAAACACAGAGAGGGATCTGAAGGTTTCTGCATGTACATACTATGCTATATCTGCCTCTTTGTCCCACCCCACTCCTAGGCTGGGACTACCCAGGCCCTGTCTTCATTAGCTTTACCATTGCGGTGGGGGTTCACAGGTTCCATACACGTCTCCAGGTTTAACCCTAAGCTCCCTAAGTGTCGGGACTGTGTCCTCTGAGGTGTTCCAGACTGAACCCCTGAGATCTGGGAGAAGGGGCACTGGGGGTGATGTCAGGGAGAGCCAGTTTCCAGCCCTTGATGGGCACCATGGTTCTTTGATTGACACCCCCCGCCCCCCAACACACACACACACACACAGCTTGGTAGCCTGGGAAGGAGACACAGTTTGGCTTCATCCTGGGCAACAGCCTGATCTGTCTGCAAACTCATCTGCTGGAACCGCGGGCAGCAGCAAAGTCAAAGAGGAGCGGTCTCATTCAGGGTGACCTCTCTGCTGCAAAGTGGGCTTCGTGGATCCCTGAACATCTCCGGCCTGGTGGCGCAGGGGCTACAGAGGCTGCTAAACGCAAGGTCAGCAGCTTGACCTCACCAGCGCCCCTTCCAGAGAAAGACAGGCTTTTTGCTCCTGTAAAGATGTACAGCATTGGGGACTCCAGGGGGCAGTGCTACCCTGGCTCCCAGGGCACTGTGCGTGAGAATGGAGTGGATGGCAGTGAGTGTGGTGTGGCGGTGGCTACAGGTAACAGTAACATGTTCCCAGGAGCAGCTAACCCGAAGCTGCCACCTGCAACCCGCCCAGCCACTCCATGGGTGGGGGAGGCCCGAGCAATCCAGGGGGCAGTGCCATCCTGTCCCAGGGGGCCCCTGTGAGTAGTCAGAAACCACAAGTGGACTTCTAGCACTTAACAACAGGAATACGAGAAGCTCCTGGCTGCCTTGGAAAATACAGAGGGACTGACCACGGCCTCCGCAGGCACCTCTGGTCAGCAGAGGGCCCATTCAGTCATAGCAGTTCTGTGTGCTTCGCATGGGACCAGCCGTCTGGGCAGCGTTTTGGAGAGCACAGCTGTGAAGAGGAGTACTGATCGGGGTGCACAGCCCTGGCCAGATGAATGGAGAGTTTAGTAAGTGACTACTTCGCCAATGACAGAATGGCCATTGGCCTTGTTGGCTGCAAGGACCAGCCCAGTCACGCGACGTGGTTGAAATATGGAAAGGGGAGGGAGAGAGGGAGCAAAGAGGAGCTGATGCCAAAGGGCTCCGATAGTAAGTGTTCAGAAAATGATGGCAACCTAGGTACAAATGTGCAACACAATGGATAGAGATGTATGGACTGGGATAAGAGCTGTAAGGGCTTCCAAGAAGACGATTTAAAAAATAAAATGATTTAAAAAATAAAAAGATGATGGCAACCTGTGTCCAAAAATGCTTGAGACAACAGATGCATGGAATATTATAGAAGCTGCAAGTAAAATGATTTAAATCAGTAAAATGATTTAAAAAGCAAAAAGAAAAGAAATACTGACATATATGTCCTAAGTCACTATGTGTATTAAAAACCAGAACAAAAACAAGTCACTCTAGAGAGGGCAATTGGCAGCCTGCAGAAGGACCGACTGTGGCCAGAACGGCACAGCAGCATCCCGCTTGTGCGTGCACGAGCCCGAGCCCGCCCCCGCACGTACCTGTACGATCTCCAGCATCCCACCTGTGCGTGCGAGCCACCACCCCCCACGCACGCACGCACCTGCACGGTAGAGCATCCCGCCCGTGCGCGCGCCGCGTCCGCCCAGCTCCGCACGCACCTGCACGATCTCCAGCATCCCACCCGTGCGCGGGAGCCACCCCCCCCCCCCCGCACCTGCATGGTAGAGCATCCCGCCCGTGCGCGCCCACCCCCCGCACGCACCTGCACGATCTCCAGTATCCCACCCGTGCGCGCGAGCCACCCCCCACCCCCCCCATGCACCTGCACGGCAGAGCATCCCGCCCGTGCGCGCGCCGCGTCCGCCCAGCTCCGCACGCACCTGCACGATCTCCAGCATCTCGCCGCGGCTGATGTAGCCGTTGCCGTCCAGGTCGTACATGCTGAAGGCCCACTTGAGCTTCTGCTCCAGGCGGCCGCGCGAGGTGACGCTCAGCGCGATGATGAACTCCCGGAAGTCGATGGTGCCGTCGCCGTTGGTGTCGAAGGTGCGGAAGACGTGCTCGGCGAACTTGGAAGCGTCGCCGTAGGGGAAGAAGTTGGCGTAGATCTTCTTGAACTCATCCACGGTCAGGTGGCCGGTGGGGCAGTCCTTGAGGAAGCCCTTGTACCACTCCTGCAGCTCGTGGTCGGTGAACTCCGTGTTCTCGCGCAGGTCCTGCAGCACCTCGGGCCGCAGCTTGCTGTTCTGTTTGCCCATGGCGGCCTGGGGCAGCGACCACACCTACGAGACAAGGGGCACCAGTCACTGGGGGCCCAGCACTGGGCTCCCCACCCCCCCAGCCTCGGAGCCAAGCCCTGCTGAGAAACGCCCTGGCCAAGGCTGGAGCCCAGGGTGGGACAGGCGCAGCAAAGAAAACCCTTTATTGCACAGCGATCGCATTTTAATCAATCTAGGATCCAGGGCAAGTATCCTGAACAAATCAGGAATACAACTCGAACAGACACATACACACCTATGTTTATTGTACAGTTTTCCATTATAGCAAATCATGGAAAGCACCACAAAACCCCAACTTTAGAGGAACAGATGAACAAGCTCTGGTACATTCACACTAGGCAATAGTATTGTGGTAGTTACATCATCCCCTGTCAACTTGAGGAAGGGGTGGAGTCTAGCCTGTCAATCAGAATGCAGTTTGACCTCATTTGGAGGCTTGACAGATAAATAGCTCCCTGGAGCCAGACCCACTCTCTGTCTCTCTCTGCTTGCCTTCCTGCTGACAAACCACATGGAGTATCTGATTGCAGCCAGAGCCCTGGAGCAGGAGGAGCAACGTGGAGACCCGCACCAGTGCTGAGATGCTTCCACCTCCACTGGATCCACAAGACCTTCCACCCACTGGCCTGTGGTTTTCATGCACTCAGTATTAGTGCATGTGTTGTGTGAGCCTGAAGAAATTTAGACTGGTACTGGACATAGGGGCTAATATCAGACTTATGGACTTGATCTGGACTGGGCTGGGCTATTTTCTTAATGTCCAATTGCTCTTAGCTAGAAAGTTCTCTCTTACACATGAGTGTCTCTGGATTTGTTTCTCTAGTCCACCCGGATTGACACAATTATGCATCAATAAGAAACAATGAGCACACCCTTACACACCACAAGACACAGACAAAGCTGGGGAACACGATGCTCATCAAACTCAGCCCGCCTCACAAAGATAAATATGTAACACTACCATTATTATAAGGAAAAACAACAACAAAAAGAAATATGGTTGCTACACCCAAAGACAAGACTTTGATGTCGATGTGGAGGCCATGGATGGGGTGGGGGCAGTGAGCGGGGAGAGAAAGGATGTTGAGGAGGAAGGGAGGGAGGATGGGGTGGGAAAGAGTCACATCTATGGCGGGAGGGTTGAAGGAGATACTACTGTTTTCATTTTTTGAGGTAGGCGGGGTAAATGTGTAAAGTATATTTCTTTAAAAACCAGAACAACAACAACAACAAACCCCCTTTCAGATTCCTTACCGCTCGAACCTCGATAGTGATCTCAGTGACTGAAAACAAAGAACAAGGAAAGCCAACGGAAAACCGAAAGGGGCTTGGGGTCTTGCATGGCAAACAAGTTCACCTACAAAAATCTAGGCACCGGCCGACAGTCAGGCATGTCATTATTTCATGTGCTCCGTACGGAGGAGGCCCAAACACTACCAATGACATGGGACAGCCCATCATGGGTTGCAAAACCTACTCGGACTGTGTGTGTGTGGGGGGGGAGGGGGTGCGGGGAGGGCAAGTGAAAAACCAACATGAGCTACGTATCAAGCGCCCACTGGGCAGGCAGTACAAGTTGGGGGCGGGGGGGATTCAAGCTCGGGGCTGAGGCTGCCCCCAGACCTCGTGTGTTCAGCAGCCCCTTCCTTGTCACCCCCCGCCCTCGCTGCCCCAATCTCAGAATAGGTGTCTGGAAGCTTCCCGGGAGTCCCTCCTATATTTTGTTGCTGCAAAGACGCCTCTCGGGGGAGGATTTAGGATTAGCCGGCAGCAGTAAGGAGTGTTTACCATTGACCGTGGTTGGTGTGCGGCCCCTCTGAAGCAACAAAACACACTCCATGCTGAAGGGATAGAAAGTTTAAAGTCCAGAAATAGCCATCTGTAAGCCATATGACAATGACATATATGATATATCCATGCACGTGATGAAAGACCGGGCATCTATGAGACGGTGGGAGAGCCCACCTGCTGCGATGCGATCACTGGACATTCATCTGGCTGTCCCTCTGCATGCCCCCCCACTCTCCAATTTTGCTTTCTTATGATAAGAGCAATCGCACAAACAGGGCTCAGTAATTTAGGGAGTGTATAAAAGAATCGAGAAGTCGTCTCCCACGTGCTCCCAGAGGGAACCACTTATAACTGCTTCTGGAGTCATGCCTCTTACACGGTCTTTATGGGGACCCCTGTGGGGGGGGCGAGAATACATGCTCGCCTACACTGACTTTCTTTGGGGTTCTGCTCTTGCTTCGTGGCCAGCTTGGGACCTGGAGTTTCAGAGGACTGCGCCCCAGGTGTGCAGGGCTGAAATCTCAGGGGGATTGCCCGCAACTTCCTTCTTTCCATGTGCCCGAGGTGAGTTCCAGCTGCCAACCTGCTCCTGGGAGGGTCCGACCTCACTGTCTACCAGGCAGATGCTCAGTCAGCTTCATGGCCTCCAGGCGAGGGGCCAGGCCGCCCACTGCCTGGTCCTCCTGGAAGTCAGCTCTTCAGCTTCCCCTGCAGCACCGGGGTCGGAGCTCTTACAATACTGTCCATACTCTACAGGTTGGGGAGGGGTCCTGGCACCACAGGGGTTACGCACTCAGCTGCTCCCTGGAAGGTTGGCGCTTTGAATCCGCTCCTCGGGAAGAAGTCTGCCTGTGTGATGGGGACAGTGATGAGAACTCCCAGAGGCAGTTCTAGGCCCATGGGTTCGCTATGAGTCAGTATCCACACAATCGCAGTGGACTGGGCTTGTTTATCACTTTGGGAGTTCTTGGTGCAGTCACCGATTGGTCACTCTCCTCCTGGGACCCAACTTACCCTCTTCTTAACCATCACGTTCCCAGCTTGATGCAGCCCCAGCGGGCTGAGGAGGCTGGTCTGCTTTGTGCAGAGCACCTGGAAAGGTTCCATCAATATTTGTACAGGGAGTGAAGGGGGAATGCATGCTGCTGGGTGTTCCAGCACGACTTCCTTATCTTCAAACCGCCCTGCAGCCCCGGATGCTCACAGAAGCTGGTGACTGGCCCAAGGTCACCCAGCAGGAAGGGTGGGGGTGGGGTTCTAGCCATGATGCTGCCACCAGCTGGCTTCCTTTGGGGGGTTTTCCCTCCATCCCCGGAGCCCAGTGCAGTCCTGGCACCTAGAAGGCACTCAGAGCTAGCGTGTCGAACAATGTGCGATGCATTCCCTCCACTCTGTGTGTGTGCACGCATGTTCACCCTTCCACCTGGTTTGCCTGCTCAGTGGCTGGAGGAGACTCCTGCAGAGTCACTGATGGGAACCTCGCCCGGTGCCTAGAGTCCTGGTTCTGTGTGTGTACTGGTGTCTGCTTCAGTCCGCTCCTCCTACCAGCAACAGCCTCTGGGTGCCTACTAGCTGCCGACAGACCTGACTTAACAACGGCAAATTTCAAGAACGGACTGACCCCTCCTTGTAGGTTGTGGGCCTGGGCTGGTGGCCCCAAGTCTCTGGGCCCTTCTGTGAGCAGAGGACGCCAAGAGCAGCCACTCTCTGCAGAGCTTCCAGACACAATACAAGCCACCTTGCGGTAGTACCAAGGTAGGTCCTTCTCACCTTACAAAACAAACACAATGAAAATCAACTGGCTTCCTACGCCTTCAATCCATTTCACCTGCTCTCAAGGCTTCATCTCTTCTACAATTCTTACCTTCCAGCGGTTTCCAGCCAGCCCCCTCCGTGTGCAGATGACATGTGGCCTGTCTGACATGTCCCCGGTTCACGAGTTAGAATTGACTTGATGGCAGTGAACCGGTGGTGCAGGGGGTTAGCTGTTTGGCTGCAAACCCCACCAGACTCATGATTGCCAAATACACGCGAGCTCCCAGTCTCAGACAGGCGGCGGGTGCCCGGGTGAAATATTTAATAATAATGGCCTCATTTTAGCTCTCTCCTGGAGTCTTGCAGGGAACAAGGGGTGGGAGGGTGAGAGGCATGCTGGGTACACCTTGTGGTGACCCTCCATTAGCAATTAAGCAACGAACGAACGAGCCTCACTAACAAGCCGGGGCTGGCTGGGAAGGCAGCGGACAAGATGCCGGGCTCTGTGCTCGGCCGGCCAGAGAGCTCCTGCTCAGGTCTCCTGGCTGATGGCCCCCCAGGGCTGCAGTCCTGAAGCAGGCAGGGCGCGGGGCCTCCACTGACCAGAAAGTCCCACGTCCATTCCTCAGGGGCCCGAGTGTTCCATCAATCATGGCCCGACGTCGGGCTCACACAGCCCGGCTGACGCCCCGGGCCTCGGCTGCAAATGCCAGCACCAAATCAGGTCTCGAAAGCTTGCCGGGCCCACCAGACTCAGCAACACTCGGAGGACAGATGATGGGCAAGGTGGGGGCAAATAACTCCTTAGAACAGGCCTAGGAAGGTCTGGGGGGCTGGTTCTGAACTTTAACTGAAAGGCTCAGAGTTTGCTGCTTGGGGTGGGGCTCAAAGGCACTCCTCCTGGGGAGAGGAAGGCGGAGCGTTTACTCACACAGCTGGGACCTGTGTTGTGATTTTCTCCATATAACCAGGCCACCAGGAGTTGGGGTGGTATGGGGGTGGGGGGGCAGTCCTGTCCCAGCAAAGTGTGCCAGGTGCCAGGGCCCAGGTGCAGGCAGGAGGTAGCATCACCCACCCACTGCCCAGTCTGCGCAGTGTGTAGTTCTCCAGGTTTAAGCCAACGTCAGGCATGGGGTTGCCAAGAATGTCAACCGACCCCATGGAAACATTTTTTATTCGTTGCGGCTAACGTTTCTCAGGCCTGGTCTTTGGGTTCACATGCACCGGAATCTGGGGGTGGGGATCCACAGGTTGGACGGGCACCCCCATTCCTACGCACCTTACACTGAGAATCCCTGGCCATGTAGAGATGAGTTACGAAGCTTCCCTGAGATGCCTTCAGCGCCAAGCCCACCATGCTCACTGGGGTTTGCCCACCTCCAGAACACACATGCGCCCCTCACCTACGGCCTCTGAACCTTCTGCCAACAGAGGGCCTACGGCTCCCGCGGGCACAG